AAAGGGGACACCCCCTTTTCCTGCAGGAGAGGAAGAGCGGAGGGGTGATGGGAAGGTAGTTCCCTCCCCAGATAACAAGGCTTCTCTGGATCCTGCATCCCTGCAGCTGGCACAGTGGTTCGGAGGCCCTAGGACAGTAGACTCCTTGTCACTCCTGCCTTCACGGGGCCAGGTTCCCAGACTGGGACAGCAGGCTGGGCTGAGGGAGGGGAAGGCGCATACTCCCCTAATAAACTTGCCTGGAACTTAATCCCTCTGACTGGTGGAGTCCCTCCCTGTTCCCTCCCTTCTTCCCACATTTGGGGAGGGGCACCCACAGCTGGAGCCTGAAAGTATGCAGGATGCTGGGGCTCCCATGCCCATAGGAGCCCCCGGCACTTCAGCCTAGCAGGATAAATACTGCTCAGCTCCATGTCACTGATGACGAGAGGGGTGTTCAGTGAGGTTAAGGGCCTCATCTGAGGCCTCAGAGAAGAGGGTGCCAGAGTCAGGGTTGCAGCCCAGGCCTTCTGGCTCCTGGGCTTTTCCCACAGGATGGCTAAGTGCCTCCCAACCCTGCCCCAGCAGTCAGGGGATCTGGAGGTCCCGGCTGGGCTGACCTTACCCTGGAAGGTCATTTTAAAACAACTCATGAAAATGTATTGGGCGGCAGCGCTAGCAATGTTCTGGAGCTGCCCGTCAAAGCCCTCGCAGGCTCTGAGGACTGACCTAGAAGAAGAGGGTATTTCCCTGAAGGGCTCCTGGAAGGGAAATTAACTTTAGCTCTGGGGGAATCCAGGCTTGGATTTCCTCCCTCTTTGACCCCGTGGCACTGAGGGCTCTCTTGCCACCCCACAGCCATGGCTTCTTTTCCCAGGAGCCCCTTGCCTCCTCTTTTTCTTTGAGAGCACTTTGAAATCCCACCAGACCGTGCCCTCTCACCCCATAGACTCGTGCACACAACCTGTTGGTGGTGAGACATGTCTGAACTGTAAACATCCAGTTACTCACTTGGCAGTGATTCCACGTCCTGCCTTGGGAGGGGAACAAGGTCATTGCCAGCACCTGTAGTGAATCACCAGATGTTTACTGGGCACTTACTGTGTGCTGAGCACCATGCTGGGGCCCACGGAACACACTTGGAAGTGGGCTGAAGTCCCCGGCTCAAGGAGTTTACAATCTTGGGGAGTTTCTAATCACGGGGGAGTTTACAATCACGGGGAGGAGGGATAAGGGTGTAAAGGCCTTGACTTGTTCAGGCGAGAGGATGGCTGACATCTGGCAAGCTAGGCTGGAAGGTATCTCAGAGGGTATCTCGGAGTCTTGACAGAAAGGCGGGTTTCCGCAAGCAGAGAGGATGGATTCAAGAGGAAGAGCTGGAGAGGCCGAGGGGGCTGGCTTCGGGCTTGAGCGAGGTGTGCATCCAGGGAGTGTAGAGAAACCTGGCTAGAAAGAAGGGCTGGGACTAGGTATGGAGCTCTAAGGGACCGGGTCACTGAGCTTGCTTGAAGTGGCATCGTGGACAGTTTGGGAGGCCGTGGAGTCCAGGCCCCTAATTCTCCTCGGAGGCCCACGGTGAGAGGTCCAGCTTATCGATGGCTGAGCAATCCACAAAGCCTTGGGGGTAGCTGTTGGCTTGGAAGGGGTGCAGCGGGACCTTGGTGATGTGGGTGTTGTCACAGACAAGGCGTGACAAGGACATTTTCTGTAGAGAGTTCCGCTGCTCCTCAGTGAAGACCCCAGGGTTCTCCCACCAGAACCTGCAGAGACAGAAGCAGGGTCTCTCCATACAGCCCAGCTGTTGGACCCTCCCCAGTCTGCCAGAGGGGAAGGAAGGAGGTCACCGGAACATGCCAAGGTCTGGCGTCAGTCCTCCTGTAGGACGCCCATGGCCCACCTCCGAGAAGGGATGCCCTCCGTGCCCTCCCCGCTGAGGTCTCACTCGCCTGTCTCCATCACGGATCTGCTGGAACTGCCTTCCCAGGAGGCAGGCCAGGAGATGCCCCACCTGGCCCCTTTCTACCAGGGGCTCAGCGATGGCCCCTATCCAGATGTCAATGTTGTCAGGGGTCCCGTAGAGAACCAGTAACTTCTCAGCCAGCACCTTGTTCTTCAGCACGGCGTGCAGCTGCTTCAGTGTTTGGGGCTGTGAGAGGCCACAGAAGCCTCTCCAGGAGTTGTACCCTAGGGCAGAGAGGCTGGAGCTGTCTCATCCCCCTTGCAGAAGTGCCCACTCCAGCTCCATCAGCCCCAGAAAGTCTATGTTCACAGCCCTTGGGATAGGGAAGTCAGTGACCCATTGTTTTATACTGTGGCACTTAAGCTTCGAGGGGCCTAGTAGGTTATATGGTGCTTACTATGGGTCCAGGAACTATTCTAAGCACCGTACACAAACGTAAATTGAAGAACAGAGATGTCAAGTAACTTGCCTGAGGTCACATAAGTAGAAAGGGCATAGCTGGAATTTGAACCCAGGCAGTCTGGCTCTTAAGTACTACATTTAGGAAGATCTGATAGTCATTGTTTTCCCTCTGTTATCCTTTTCTTAATATTCTCTGGACTTTTAAACTGGTTTTTACAAGTCAGTTGTTGATTTCTTTCATTTGAGGAGCTCAAAGAAAGTACCAGATGTGTTCTCTGGTCTCTGCATTAAGGAGAATGGAAGATTCCATTTCACAGATGAGCAAAGTGAGTTTTAAAAACGGGCATCTCTGGACTTCCATGGAGGTCCAGTGGTTAAGACTCTATGCTTCCACTGCAGGGGGCACGGGTTCTATCCCTGGTCGGGGAACTAAGATCCCACGTGCTGCGTGGCACGGCCAAAAAAAAAAAAAAAAACGGGCAACACTGCCTTTTGTTTTAGAAGTGATCACCTCCTCAGGGCTACAGGCGAGAGTCCCTTGGAACCCCAGAAAGTAGCTAAAAGTTCCCCAGGCCTGGCAGGACCCTAGGCCCACTCACCAGGCATCCCATGGTCCCGGCAACGCTGTATGTTGATGGCAGCCAGGTCAAAGCCGTGGATCACGTGAGTGGGTTGGAAAAGCTTGTTGCGCAGCTCGCCCGTCATCATTTTATTCTGATCCATCGATTTGGATTTCTTGGCCAGCAGGCCCCGCACCAGAGGGTCAATTCCACCTGCAAGGGAGACCCAGAGGCCAAGTTGGGGATGGGGACATCTTCCACTGCTGGCTCCTCCCTTCACCAGACATTTTCTCTTTCTCAGGTGAAAGAAGGGCCAACTGCACCTCTCGGGCTGGAAGTGGGGAGAGTGCAGCCCGCAGGGTATGCTGGGGACTGGGGGTCAGTCCAGACCACCTGCCGTCCTGGGGCGATGGCATGAGCATAAGCTTAGGGTTTCTTTCAAGCTCCCGTTCAGAGAGCTGGCTCCTTCTCCTCCAAATGTTCCCCCAGTGAACTGTTGCAGCTCGGGAAGAGATGTCAGAAATCTCTGGAAAATGCCCTGACTTGTCAGGCCTTAAGCAAAGCCAGTTTCAACACAGCCCACCTCAGGATAAAGGGGAGCTGGCCTCAACCTTTGGCACTTAATGTAATGTAGGTGGAAAGCCGTAGAGGGGAGCAAGAAGAGCAATTTTTTTTTTTTTTTTTTTTTTGTACCAGACCCAGGAATTATTTCTGCAGGGATCAGAGAAGCGTGAGGCAGGGAAAGGGAACAGGGAAAACTCGGCATCTTAAAGGCCAGCGGAAGAAAGAAAGAATAATAACTAATGTGTAGTGACCACATCCTTGTGTGTCAGGAACCATTGTAGGGCACTTTATACATATATTTCTATTTTTTTAATATCCTGTGAGATAGGTATTATTACTGTCCCCATTTTACGAATGAAGAAACTGAGGCTCCGTGAGGTGAATTCGCTTGCCTAGGGTCACACAGGAAGTGCCTGGAGTCTGACTTCCAAGCCAGGTTTCCCTAGAAGCAGGCTACAGAGTGAGACAGCCTAGTGACAGTGCTTCCCTGAAAGGACATACCATCTTTGACTATCCTCCAGGTGTTGAAGAAGAGGGTATGCAGGGGGAGCTCTGCTTCCAGACCCCATGGCTGATAATTCTCATCCAGGCGGAACACAGTGGAGGGGACCTCTAAGTGGCCAAAGCGGAAGGCGAAGGTGAAGACATTGGAAATTCGGGGATCCACAGATTTGTTATAGCCTTGGTATGGAGGGATCCACTTTTGCATCTCATCACCTAGAACAATGGGTAGGTAGTCCCTAAAGGTGATAATCTGGAAGGAGAAACAAGTCATGAGAAAAGGGTGTGAGAAGCCCTACCTCTGGCCACAGTGGACGGGCCCAGCTGTGGCACCAGACTAAGCTGGTTAGTCAGATTCTCTCTCTCAGGAACTTAGATTTCAGATGCAGCTCTTCAAGAAATTATAGCTTGAATAGAAATAGCTATTCAAGCTATTTCTGGCGGCGCTCTATCTGAGGGGACAGATGGGGTGATATGGGTTGTCATTTTCTATCATGTGCAGAAAAGCAGAGAAAACCCATCTGCAGAGAAAGAGAGTGGAGAAGTGAAAAGAGGAGCAGAGAGGAGGGAGAGACAGAGTGAGAGTAGCTGCCCTAATTCCAGATGGTTTCCAGTCTCTGGCTCTCACCCTAGTTGAGGCCCAACTACACTCCCTGCCTGGGGGTTCCGGGAGAAACCCTTACTAGCTTCCAGTTGATACATGTATAGGGTGAACCTGTACTGAACATCTGAACTAGCTTGCATGGGTTTCTTTTTCCTGTGGTCCAAGAAGCCTTATTATGGATGCAAATTCGTATGTTGAAGCTCTAACCCTCTCATCTGACTGTATTTGAAGATAGGGCCTGTAAAGAGGTAATTAAGGTTAAATGATGTCATAAGGGTGGAGCCCTAATCCAAAAAGACTAGTGTCCTGATAAGATGAGAGAGACACACGCACAGGGGAAAGACGTGTGACCTCCAGAAAGGAAAGAAGAATGATGTACTGGGTAACACTACACCCATCAACAGCAGAATACAAATACTTTCTAAGGACCTATGGAACATTCAACAAGATAACCATACCAGGGTTATAAAATAAACCTTAACAAATTTGGAAGAATTGAGATCATAAGAGTATATTCTCTGACCATGACGGAATCAAATTGGAAAGCAGTAACAGAAAGGCAGCAGAAAAATCTCTAAACACTTGGAAATAAAACAATATACTTCTCAATAACCCACAGGTCAAAGAGAAAGTCTGAAACAAACAACAACAACAAAACATACACAGTGAATTAAAATGAAAATACAACATATCAATATTTGTGGGATACAACTAACAGTGCTAAGAGGGAAATTTATATCACTTGTAATACTTATGTTAGAAAAGAAGAAAGCTCTCAAATCAATAATCTAAGCTCCTACCTCAATAAACTAGCAAGAAGAGCAAAGTAAACCTAAAGCCAGCAGAATAAACTAAAGCAGAAAATCATGTGATTATATCTAAATCAATGCAGAAAAACCATCTGACAAAATTCCACATCTATTCATGATAAAAACTCTCAGTACGCTAGGAATAGAGCAGAACGTCCTCAACTTCATATAGAGCAAAAAGATCACAACTAACTATACTTAATGGTGAAACCTTGAATGCTTTTCTTTTACTGTTGGGAAGACAAGAATGTCTGCTCTCATCACTCTTATTCAGTATAGTACTGGAAGTTGTAGCCACTGTAACAAGGCAAGAAAAAGAAATGAAAAACATACAAATCAGAAAAGAAGGAATATAACTGTCATTATTTGTAGGTGATAATGACTATCTATGTAGAAAATCCCAAGGAATCTACAGAACTCCTGGAACTAATTGCATTCAACAAGGTCATAGGATACAGACTCAACACATAAAAATCAATTATAGTTTTATACACTGATAATGCATAAGTGGAAACTGAAATAAGAGATGTAATACCACTTACAATTCTTCCAAAGGAAATGAAATACTCAGGTATAAATGTAATAAGCATGTATAGGATCTGTCTGATTAAAATTATAAAATGCTGATGAAATAAATCAAAGAAAATCTGAATACTTGGAGAGACATACTACGTTTATATAGTGGAAAACTCAACATTGTAAAGATGTCAATTGTCCCTAAATTGATCTATAGTTTTAATACAATTCTTATCAAAATCTCAGCAAGATTTCTTTGTAGACATAGATCAGCATGTTTTAAAATATATATGGAAAGGTAAAGACCCTACAATAGCCAAAGTAATTTTGAAAAAGAATAAAGTGAGGAGTCATTCTTCTTAATGTCTTATTGTATAGCTACAGTTATTAAACACTGTGGTACTGGTGTAGGAATAGACACATAGATTAGTGGAATATAATGGACAACCTAGAAATAGATTGACATAAATATGCCCAAATAGTTTTTTTTAAACTTTTTATTTTATATTGGAGTATAGCCGATTAACAATGTTGTGATAGTTTCAGGTGCACAGCAAAGCGACTCAGCCATACATATACATGTATCCATTCTTCCACGGACTTCCCTCCCATCCAGGCTGCCACATAATGCCCAAATAATTTTTGACAATGGAGCAAAAGCAGTTCAAAAGGAGAAAGATAGCCTTTCAGTGAGTGGTGCTGGAGCAATTAGACAACCATACCCCCCACCCCAAATGAACCCTGACCTAAACCTTATGCTTTATACAAAAATTAACCTCAAATGGATCATGGACTTAAATGTAAAAGATAAAACTATAAAATGTCTAGAAAAATAAAACCAGGAGAAAAATCTCTGGGACCTAAG